GTCACATAATTCTAGGTTAGCCAGCATTAGTCACATAATTCTAGGTTAGCCAGCATTAGTCACATAATTCTAGGTTAGCTGTGGCTACCCTGTAAAGCAGAGGTAAGCCAGCATTAGTCACATAATTCTAGGTGAGAGCACAATAAAAGAACGTTCAAAGAAGTACGATATTAAGGTGGATAGTTAGTGATTACTTTCATAAATACCAGTATTGCCAATGACAATGAATTTTTTGTGAAAGGTATTGGGTAAAATACAGAGAAAGAGTTAACCTATCAAGATATTTTTGTAAGATATAATCAGTTTTATACTTATTGTGATGCAATGATAAATATAGCTATTAAGAATATTTTCTGAACTTATTGATGAAAATAGAAGTAATATGAGGTTATAAGAAGATTTTAAATTACTTTGATACATGTATAATTTTTAAGTGGTGAGTTTTGTTGTTGAAATAGAGAAAAGTCATAGAATTTTAGAAATTCTAACAAAATCACCTCAGCTTTTTAAAGTCATAATAACTCAATACAGATCATGAGTGTCTGTAGCAGAAAAGCTTTAAACTGACATAGTATTTATTGTTATGATTTATTCTTATTTTATGATTCATTAGCTTAAAATCTGGAATGCAGATATTTCTAGCTTATTGGGAGCATAACATAGTTATGCTTTAACATAAAAAAGGGAAAATGTGCCAAACTACAGAAATAATTTACTACAGAATAACTATATCTTAGTAGTCAGTTCTTATATGTTCTGCATGTATCAAATGCTTTCAGTAACATTACGACACATTATAAGATTATAATAGCTAACTTAAAAAGTATTTTTTGTAAAACAAATGATAATATAATTCTACATATCAGGTTTAACACAAATATAATTTCTACAATTAGTATTTTAAACCATCGTAAGGAACCCTAGAAAATGTCTAAACTTTTATTGAGCTGGTCAAGACACCAACCCTTGGTGACTCAGTGGTAAATTTGAGGGCTTATAATGCTATAAATTGGGTTTCAGTACTTGCAGTGATCACAGCACAGATAGCCCATTGTGTAGCTCTGTGTTTAATATCAAAAAGCCAAGATATTGAAAAAAATTCTGAAACTGTTTTTGGCCCTCCAAATATATTAAGTATAACTTAAAAACATTTTCTATTGAATCTGAGAATTCATTGTTCATGATACATTAGTACTAAAATGTACTCCCCACTTTGGGGATATGAGTGCACTGTAAGAATGTTAGTCAAATTCCACTATTCAATCACATAAAAATATACTAAGGGTGGGTACTATTGATTGGCTACCTTCTCTCTCGTGTATCAGTTCAAAATTATGGATTGTTAAGTTTATATGACCATGTGTGTAACTTGCATGAAATTTGGAAACAAGACAACCTCCTAGTGACATAACTATTATTAATTTTGTTTAGAGTACTACTTTTATTGGGATTTCTTATACTCTTTATTTAGGAAATTATTATGGAAAAGTGTTTAAGACTGACAAATGTAGCTGTTGAAGGTGTGATTGTACACTGTCCAAGTGTAGTAATTTTTGCATTTCATGGTTGCCCACTAATTGGAGGTGAGTTTAATATATAGAAAAGGTTTTTGTTTATAGCTTATGGTCACAAGTATTCTGAAAACTTTAATTTTTTGTAAAACATATGAAGGAAAAATAAAAAATAAGCAAAATCAGTTTATAATTTTTTAAATATATAATATATACTAATTATAATACAAAGCAACATTCAAAAAATAAGCACCCCAATCAGTCAAAACATAAATTTATAAAATTGTGTTTTTCTTTGTACAATGTATTGTGATATATATATTGTAGTATGCCCCAGAGATATTGCAATATGAAAATGTTGACAATACTCATTTATACTGAAAACAATTATATAAAGGTGAATGAGTTTAGCTCTAAATGATTTGCTTTTTCAGGTCATTCAGGAGAAATTATGCAAGAAATACTTCAACAAAAGTCCAGAATTAAACAGCTTTCTTGGACTGTTCAGTGAGTATGAAAAAACAGAGAAGATGTAGATGTTTTGTTTCTGTGAAAATATAAAAAAAAGTAATTTTAAAGTAAATTATTATTTCTTTAGTAGTGGTTATTTTTGGATAAGTACATTATTTTAAGAACACACGTTAATATAATTTCTATTTTCTATATTTTTTGTAGTTCTCAAATGTTCACAAAGGAAACATAACTGATTGTAAAAAATAAAATTTTTGTAACTTATAAATTTGCAATAGTCAGTTATATTTTGCACCACAACAGTGTAGATTAGCATTTAATATAATCATTAATACTAAAAAGCAACACATTGAAGTTTCAGTGCGACTATGTACAATTATATATATATGTAAGGTATAATAAATAAATAAATCTCTGTTGCTATAAAAGTGATGAATTCATTAAAAGCTTTTATCTTATCCATCTGAAAATAATGGCGTCTTTAAATTACCTTTACCACCAAATAGTTAGTTTTAAAATCAGAATATGTTTTTTTTTCTTAACTTAATCTGTTTTGTTGGTCGAAATATTTGGCTACATTGACTGGAGCACACAACTGTCCATGTTAATATCTCTGACAATATAACAAATATATTAGGTATTGTAAGATGGGAACTTACTTCTGTACAATGATATGAATTTTTAAGTGTGTTTCATGAAGAAATTCAAGGAGAGTTTATAATGCACAGTTAGTTTGAACTATATTTGGCTCTGACATCAAGACACACACATATATCTAACTCAAAGGCATATAAGCATATATACTCAGGCTGTGGTAATAATAAAACACAAAAGGCAGATACCAATGCTTTGGGTATGTGTAATTACACAGTGATTATAATCCAAGTGTGAAAATTTTAAAATTTTGCTGTTGAGTTACTGATTTTCCCAGAACATCAAAGCTAATATAAGGGGTTGAGAGAAAGTTTTAAGACTACATTCTTCCTCCATGTCGTACTGCAACTCCATTAAAAGCAAATAAGAAGATTCCAAATTTGACTGTCAGTCTCTATTTATCTGCATGTATATATATAATTATAGAACTATAATTGCTAAAAAAAATGGGTGATATGATGTAATACTGATCAGTCCCCTTTTAAATCATGATAACATGAAAAATGCTTTGCACTTTTGGCTTTGCTTGACAGTCAATCCTACTGTTTGATTAAAAATAGCCACTTCAGGTAGTGGGTGCTGCAAACTGGTTCCTTTGCTTTGGTCTGCAGTTTAAAATTGGAGAAGGCTATGCCTGAATTGTAAGTGTCTCTGATCTAGATGTTTTGGCCATTGTGTACATAATTGTCATTCAAGAGAACAAACAAAGAATTATTATCATATACAAGGTAATATTAAAATAAATTCTTATTATAAGATGCCACATAAGATAATGTCATCTGCAGGTAGCAGAATGTCTAAAACCTTTGTGACACAGACACCAAACTTTCTGGAAGCCTGGTGAGAGAGTGCATAATTGAATTAAAACTTGTTTTGATGTGCAGTCAAATATTTTTGTCTCACAGTTTCTCTAGAGCAGTGAATAAACACAACAAATCTGACTCAATGAATGTAATGCTAGCATCAGAGATAGTTCACGTACGATTCTTTTATTTTTACATATATTGGACAGAACTGGCTTTAAACTTAAGACATTGTGTCAATGATAATACTTGGTAATTGAAATCAACTACATATTTGATGATAGCTGCACTAGCAGTTTACTGAAGTTTAAGGTTTAGAATGACTGACATAAGAATGTTCCTTCGACACACATTAGGCTCACCTTTTCAACCATTTCGCAACTCTGAGCAGCAGTTAAAACTATATAAACTGTATTTACTGTAATATTACTGGATGCCATGTAGTATGGTGTTAATATCTAGAATGATATGAATTTTACTAAAAATTACAAAAAGAGACTGTATGTGTGTCTACATATACACATATAATAAAACAACTGATCAGAATATGCTCCCTTTCTTGCTAATTATCTAATTGGTTCAATGATTTGTCTCAAGTTCAATTCGCAGTTAAGTGGGGATTTTTATAATTTTTTAAAATTATTATTATGTTTAGAGAAAGATATTAAAATATTAGGAAAACACACAATAACGTGATAGTTTACATTAGGGATTTGAATTATTTGTTAACATTTGATTTCAAAGACTAATTGTTCATCAATACATTATTATTATTTTTTACCTTCAGTAAGAGATTTTTAAAAATTCTGTGAAAAATTTTATAAGAATTTTTAATAAAATATTGTACCTTTGTGAATTTGCACTTCACCATAAAATTCATTGCCTTTTCCATCACAATTACTTGACGATGTAGGAATATTTTTTCACATAGTTCAATCTATAAGGCTTTATCAAGAAGAATTGAACATAAAAATATACATAAGTCAAAATTATAATCAAGGACAACTTACAGGAGATGACCAAATATACACAAAAAATATACATATATATATTGTTACTATAATTAATTTTAAGAAAATGTGTTCATAAAACATTTATTTACATTTAATTTTTAGAAGAGAAATAAATAAGCAACATGATGGCCAGCAGCTAGTGTTGTGTGTGTGTCCATTACGACCATCTACCCTCAACTTACAGACTTTTTATAATGTTCACTACCAATAGGGTTTCCATATTGCACCATATTGATTAATTTTATGTTTTTATGCATCACAAAACTGGTAAAAACACAAAAAACACTTTCTATGTAAAAGTCATAGAAAACCCCAACCATAGAACAGCGTCTGTGTGTGATCTTAATGAACTTTCTGGTTTCTATCTAACATGTAGGGAAAAAAAAATACTCTAACTTACTAAAATCTATGAAAGGTATTATTAACTTTCAAAGGTCTTTGTTTATCTAATTAATTTATAATGGATGTCTTAAGTAACAATACATACTGTTCAAATGCAGTGCATGATCTAAACATATGTTGAAGTTCAAGATTAGATTATTTGGTCTTGATATACTGTGGATGACAAGGAAGTACTTCAAAAGTCAACATGATCTGGTAGGAGAGATGACAGTTGAAGTTGAATATGTTAATGCTTGTTATTATATGTCAAGAGCCAGGAAAATGATTTATTTTTAAAGAAAGATATTCCAATTATGATCAGTAAGAATGACATTGATTTTATATATATGCAGATTTTGTTGAATAAGACCGATGTCTGTAGGTTTACTTTCTTCTTGAGAAGATTTCCAAGAAGAAAGTAAACCTACAGACATCAGTCTTATTCAACAAAATCTGCCTACAAGAAAATCTGTCACCAAAGTACACCAACATTCGATATATATATACCTAACAACTTGTATTAACCCAGTGGAAGAGTTGCACAAAAAACTTGATCACTTTATATTGATCTGTGTAAAAATTACAATAATTCATGATGTTAGTAAATGTTTCCAGAATAGCTTCATTTAAAAAAAAAGTTTATTAGAAAAAGAATAAACACATAACTATCAAGAAATTAATTATGTATAGGCAGAATTCAAACTGATAAAAGAATTACAAAGAAAAAAAATTGTGTGAACATATAATAACTGAATATTAAATGTATATCAAATATATCTTAATACAAAGTTAAACATTAAAAAATAATTGTAGACAAATTCATAAAGAGAATGTTCCTCCAGTGTTATAACAACTTTCATGATGCTGTCCTTTTATATTGCTGATAATTTGTTAATCTTTTTAATCTATTATCTATAGCATTGTATATGCTAGTGCTAAATATAAAGCATGATGCTGTCCTGTTGCTATCTCGTGTTACATCATTCAATATGGTAACATGAGCTAGTGTTTGCTGAGAAACTTACAACTTGTGTGGTGGAATTCTTAATTATACACAGTTCAAATGCCAATAACAGGTGTAGACTGTTTTGAGCTTGAAGATATTTAGGATAAACAATTGTAATTTTAAACTATTGTTACAATCTGCAGTCATTGTAGAAAGAAAAAAAAAGGGTAATTTAGATTTATTTCATATTTTTTATGGTGGTTACGTAGTTGGTCAACTTGACCGAGTCCATATAGAATTAGGGTAGAAAAAAAAATAAAACATAAAGTTTCACTGAATAAAAATGTTTGATATTTATTTACAAGGTTTTACAGGTTATGCAAATGATGTTTGAAAATTTTCAGAGGAAGCAAAGTATTTTATACCTTAACATGAAAATCACTTTGCACTCAGAGCAGTCAACACAGATTACATATATATTCACAGACAAATCTTCCAAAAAATACTTAAAATCTGATATTTTGTTTACAAGAGGCTTGTAATGTTCACTGAATGCTTGCCAGATTTTGTGAAGATACACAAAACATATCAAAATTTGTAGTACAGAAATTCTGATGGTTTCTTTGTGGTTACAAAGTCTCACATCGACTGAGCCCTATGGAGAGTTAGCAAATCTTTAACATGATGTATCTGAGCACCTCCCCAGCCTACTATTCCATATCATAATACTGACTGAAATAATGAGTAATATAACATTTTTAGAGTATATTTTCGTAAGATATTTTATTTAGAATATAAATGCATCTCTTCACTTCTAAGTTTATTAAACAATGATGCGATGTTCTTCTGATCTTACTAATACATTTGATTTCAGTTGATTGCAATATTTCTGTTAGCAATTATTTTCATGAATGTTTGTATTCATAATAGATGGCTGACTTGTATTGTAACATGGTACTGACATATATTCTATTTTCTTATACTTTTAAAAGAATTAATGAATTGTTGTCGAAATATATTTTACTAAATATAATGAGTTCAGTTTGTCAGAAAACACTTTCCCATGCATTTCACAAAAAACAGTAAAGCAGTATCATCTGCCTATGTTATTGTTCTTTCCCTAATACATAATTATTTATTATAAATAAAAAATAAAATGGGACCCTGTGGAACACTACATTCTATAAATGATTTGTAAATCAATAAAACTACTTACAATTTTTACAACTTACGTCTCTTTAGATAAATAATATTCAAACTATTTAAGAGTCAACTCACATGTGCCAATTTTTCATAATTTTTGAAAAAGAATTAAACACAGACAGGCCCAACGGGACACCAGGAAAAATTCCGGTGGGACCTCTCTTGGAAAAATATATTAATGCTTTGTGAGAGCAATACAGAAATAATTATTTGTCTGTTGCTATCATGTTAACACTTTTAACATTTATGTTAATTCTATAAATAATGATGTGCATTGAGAAAACTTATCAGACAATATTAATGTTGAAGATGTTATCTCCTATCTTGTGAAGAACTCCTCTGTGTTTTCAGAATTACTGACTGTGTGAACTATAAGCGACTAGTGTTTTAACATCAAATTACACATATCTAAATC